TTGTTTGATTTTCGCTATATTAGCGTGTATTCTGTAAATTTTTAGCTTTTGCTACATTAGCATATATGTAAATTAGACAATTTGTCTTTTAATGAAAACCATAATGGGTTAAGCACGAAATATATTTCGAGCTTCTGTGATAATTTTATTGTAATTGTATTGAACGACCTTTTAAATTATGAAATAACTGTGATATGAATTGCTGTTTTAGTAGACCAACAATTATTTCATGCACATTTATTTGATGTGATACTACTTTGTCTTTTAACTAACCAATTTTACTAACAGAGGACCCTGTGGAAGATTAGCTTTGCTAAACAGGTTTTGTATCCTCAATAAATAAAGTTTATTATTATCAAGAGAACGTACAAGGATCTTGGCGTCCACCATGATCAGACCTACACAAATTAATCTTTTTCTCTTTTGCCCTTCAATTTTCTTACAGATACTAACTATTACCCAGTCCTATGCTGGAAATCCTAAACGGGAATCTAGTACATCAAACTTAACCTCGTAATGTCATATTATTTGCCACTATGGCAAATGTTTCCGTAAACGAATTGAAAACTTTGTAATATATGCAAAATGCTAAAAAAATTGTAACTCTTACATAATTAGACGTGCTATCAGTGTGGAACTATTTCTAAGTAGGGCCAGGGGTATTTTTACAAGGGGAACAAACATACACAATTTGAGAGAAATCCTTCCGAGTAATTGCCTAGAAAAAGCGATAACAAAATCAAGATTTTCTCTTGTCGGCCATTTCGTTTTTCTACTCAGTCTCAAAAGTAAATATGCACAACAAGAGACCACACCACAGGGGACCGATTTATTAAATGTCTAGCACTTATTGAGAAATAGAAACCTTGAATATGGCGTGCATTCAGTTTGAATAATGAAAACGAGTTGCAACACGAAGTGTTCCTAAACGGCCTTAATACAAGAAAAGCTTAAAAACAAAACATCTACATTTGGCTATGACTAACTTGAAAGAGTCTAACACGTTGAATTGTGTGATACATTAGTTTATGTATTAGTTTACTGTCATGTATTATCATTTTGGAAAACAGAGACTACTTCAACAGAAACGATCACTACATCAATGGAAATGACGTCTTCTTCAACAAACAAGACATCTTCAACAGCAGGTATTATTATCTCAACTGCCCGAAGACTTCTCGACAATCAAGAAGGTCAGGATGTAGATGTTTGGCCAGTAGCATGCGATGATGAAGGGCTACCATATTTGTTCAAATAAATGTCTTTCAGCTGTTCTAATAGTCTATAAGCCTTTCCGACAATATTATACCCCCCCCCCCCCCAGAACGAGGGGGTATACTTGAATCTGTCTGTTACAGACAAATCTACCTCCTACTTTTCCTTGGGTTATGCAAGGATTTTGATGAAATATATAAAGATGTCCACCTGTCGGCCTTTTCGGTTTTAGCTCACCTGGCACAAAGTGCAATGTGAGCTTCTGCCGTGGCGCGGCGTCCGTCGTCAATATTTTACTTCAAACGACTTCTTCTTAATAACCAAAAGGCCTAGGGTGTCGATATTTGGCCAGAAGCAAACTACGATAAAGGGCTACCAAGTTTGTTAAAATTAATGACCTTCACCTACGTTTAAGGTCACAGGGGTCAAATATGTTAAAAACTTTAAACATCTTCTAAATAACCAAACTGCCCAGGGTGATGATATTTGACCAGTAGCATTCTGGGGTTAAGGGCTACAAAGTTTGTTCAAAGGCATGACATTCACCCATATTCAAGGTCACAGGGGTCAATATTTCAAAATTTTTAAACAACTTCTTCTCAATAACCAAAATGCCAAGGGTGATGATATTTGGCCAGTAGCATGCTGAGATGAAGAGTTACAAAGTTGTTCAAAGGAATAACTATCATCCATATTCAAGGTCAAAGAGGTCAGATATGTTAAAATTTTAAACAACTTCTTCTCAATAACCAAAATGCCCAGGATGTTGATATTTGGCCAGTATCATTCTGGGATCAAGGACTACTATGGTTGTTAAAGTGAATGACTTTGACTTATATTCAAGGTCAAAGCGGTCAAGTTTGTTTAAAATATTTAAACAACCTCTTATGAATAGTTATGGGTCCCAGGATGTTTATACTTTGCAAGCTGCATCCTGAGAAGAAAGGCTATACAAACTGTTCAACATAATGACTTTGTTCGACTTTCAATCACAGGGGTGAAATGTTTTAAAAAAAAATAACAGGGTCTTTTGAATAAATTTTAATCATCCCTGCAGGTAGGGCGTAGGAATTGTACCTGCTGCCCCCAATTGCGTGATCGTAAGAGGCGACTAAATTTTGGACCTTATATCTTCTCTTCTTTCTTAATAACATTCTTCTTCTCCTGCTTAACGCTCAGCAAATAAGAAGTGGGACGACTGGTTCACCCGTTGTCAGTATAATGTGACCGGGTTGGGCGTCCTGCTGGGTGTCTTCGGCAGTATGTTTCAGTGAGGTAGCACTATAAAGTCGGCATCAGTTCCACGCTATCACAAGGAGACAAACACGAACATATCGCAGCCACCCAAAATACACACATGCATCTTGCTCACAGGGGAGGGCGTCCTTTAATGACCTCAGTTGTTTAATAGGACGTTAAACAAAATCAAACAAACAAACAATTTTAATCATAAATACTGACATTTTACCTGTAGCTATATTTTAGATCACTTTTAAGGTTACAAGTGTGAGATTTGTACCAGGTGAGCGATGCAGGCCCATTTGCCTATTGTTCTCATCAGTCTCAAAAGTAAATATGCACTATAAAAGACCACAGGGTCCGATTTATTAAATGTCTAGCACTTATGGAGAAATAGAAACCTTGACTGTCCAAATCCAATATGGCCGTCTCACTTTTTATTTATGTCCATATACCACCAAGCGACTTCGGATTGAATAATGAAAACGAGTTGCAATACAAAGTGTTCCTAAACGGCCGTAATACAAGAAAAGCGTTAAACAAAACATCTGCATTTGGTTATGACGTACTTAAAGGGTCTAGCACGTTGACTTGTGTGATACATTTGTATTAGTTATCATGTTTTACTTTCATGTATTATCATTTTGGAAAACAGAGACCACTTCACCAGAAACGATCACTACATCACTGGAAATGACGTCTTCTTCAATAGAAACGACATCTCCAACAGCAGGTATTATTATCTCAACTGTCCGAAAACTTCTTCCCAACAATCAAAAGGTCAAGATGTAGATATTTGGCCAGTAGCATGCGATGATGAAGGGCTACCACATTCGTCAAATAAATGTCTTTCATCTGTTCTTATAGTCTTATAAGCCTTTCCGACAATATTATACCCCCCCCCCCCCCCCCCCCCCGGAACAAAGTTAGGGGGTATACTTGAATCTGTCTGTCTGTCTGTAGACAAAAATGTACCTCCTACTTTTCCTAGGGTTATGCATGGATTTTGATGAAACTTAAGATATATGTTTTACCTCAAATGCGCTCGTGTCTCCCAGAACGCATAAATGAAATCTACTCTTCTGATCTACTCTTCTGACAAACTTCTGAGGTCATGGGGTCAAAGGTCACGAACTAAATACGCTACTGAAATGGCTAAATATATCGGAAACTGTAGGTATTTTTTATACACATATATATTGGAATATCGTAGAGATTAACGAAAGCTACTGAAGTGACAGCTTCCGAGGTCGTGAGGTCAAAGGTCACGAATGAATTTCGTTACCGAAATGGCCAATTATCTCGTAAACGGTAGGTCTTTTGTAAACACATATGCAGGTTATATTGTGACAAACTGCCAAGGTCATGAAGTCAAAGGTCATAGGTCACAGATGCATAATGTTACTGAAATGGCTAATTATTGCAGAAATGGTAGGTATTTTGTATCCTCATACCTTGGAGTAAATGTAGCATTGATGCAAGTTACATTGTGATAAAATACCGAGGTCATTGAGTCAAAAGTCACAGTAGCGGTGTTTGTCTTTTTCCATCGGTCTGTCGGTACGACATCTAAGGTTAGACTTTTTCATGACCCTTGATCGTTCTATATATTTTTCCCTACAATTCGGGCTATGTTTGTTTCCAGGATGCTGTACCATCGGTACCATGCACCTTAATTTATCAACAAGCACGAACTCTGCACTTATTCCTGGAATAATGATCGAGACCGAATCCACCGGAACGTCTAGTAACTGTGATGTACCTGTTGTCGTCCGTGCTACCTTTGAGAGGATCGGAGGACAAGGAGGCTGCCGCACCTGTTCACTATGCAAGAGAACGATGCTACAGGTGGACCTTTACCTGTCCGACTCTAGAGGCGGTTTTCTGTTCAATGTAGGCGATAGTATCACGAACAACGGATATGGTGAGTATCAGATAACTATGATATTTTAAGTACCGCCACGTTAAGGGATTTAAATGCTTTGTTTTCTGTGAGTTTTTTTATTAGTTTGTGAGGAAATTTACACCCTCGCAAAACCCTGAACTACCATGTCACTGTAATGTCACAACCTGACACGGTGACTGCGACTGGTCATATTGTTAGGTCATAGCAACAGCCAATGAGAACAGATGCCTAGGAAAGACCACGCCTGAAAGAGAATATAGAATAGAAAGAAGGCCGGAAACTGTGGCTTTTTGGATTTTTAACTCAATTTGGTCTGGAGCATCCTTGGGGCAAGACCACTCAATTTTGTATAAACAGTTGGTGTGGCCCCCTAGGGGTGGAAGAGAGGGGTCCACTAGGGGAAATAGGGGTAAAACTTTTAAATCCTTCGTGTACTGTAGGGATACAGGGAATTTAATATGATTTAGTCTGCAACATCCTTGGCCCCAGGGACTCAATTTTAATTAACCAGTGGGTGTGCCCCACCTGCCTGGGGGAGAGGGGGAGATCCGATTATGAGAAAAAGAGGATAACCTTTAAAAGCCTTCTTTTGGTGTGGCTCCCAGGGCAGATGGCGGGGATCAGTAGGGGAAATAGAGGTAAAACCTTTGGAATCCTTCTTCTATCATAGGGATTAAGGGATTTTAACCCAATTTTGCCTTCTTTCCATCAAGTTGTCTAGTAGTACCTGTTACTATTAGGGTGTATTCATTAAAACAAGATTGCCACCAGGCCGCCATCTTGGAATTTTACATTTCCACACCGCGTGGAGGCATACGATCCTCACGTTTCGCGGTGGTGATTTTATTTTGGCCGCCACCGTGACTCCACGTTCAGTCCCCCACCAGCATTCCACGGTGGAACATGACTCCACACTACACCGCTACTCCACCGTTGGACAGCGTTAAGGGAATGTGGAGGTCGTCTAGAGCCATACAATTACACAAGGTCTCCACGCTTAAACATATTCATAACGTGGAGGCATCGTACATTTTAGACACCATCCAATCTTCACCATTGTGCAACAGCTAAACATGCCAGGCCTGACTGTGGAGCTATTGGATTACTGACTTTCGTTCGGATATACGTAACTGTTGATAATTAACCCATCATTTTTGGTATCAGTAACTTTTTAGGTCACCTGAGACAAAGTCTCAAGTGACCTATTGCGATCGCCTTTGGTCCGTCGTCGTCCGTCGTGCGTCGTAAACAATTTCCATTTTCGACTTCTTCTCCAAAACCACTGAACCAATTTCAATGAAAATTTGCAGGAACCTTCCATGGACAAAGGTCAACAAAAATAGTTGCCGGTTTAGTCCTAAGCCCCCAGGGGCCTGAGAAGCGGGGCCAAAAAGGGTCAAATTGACTAAAATTTCAAAAATCTTCTTCTCAAGACCCAGATATGGTAGAATCAATACTCTTCATAGATGGAAGGGTCTTAATGTGCTTTACAAAAATTGTGAATTTCTTGACCCTGGGGTCTAACGTTTTCCCCTTGGGAGGGGGTAAACTTTACTATAGTTTATACAGGGAAATCACATTTTGGACCAACATTTGTTTAATTTCCATTGGAAGTAATTCAATTTAGGTTAGCTTTATCAGTATTAGGTAGCAGTTTGATAGTATGCACATATCAGCCCTGACTGACCCCCGGGGCTGATGGGTGGGGCCAAAAAGGGTCAAATTGACTGATATTTCAAAAATCTTCTTCTCAAGACCAAGATATGGTAGAATCAAATACTCTCCATAGATGGAAGGGTCTTAGTCTTAAGGTTTATGACCCTAGGGTCTCACGTTTACACCCTGGGGAAGGAAGGGTGGGGAAGGAAAGGTGGGGAGGGGGGGGGGCAAAATTTGTTATGGTTTATAATGGCAAATAATACTTTAAATATTACATGTTAATAACTTGATTGGAATTATAACCTTGAGTTGACAGTTGGATACTTTGAAAATTTTGAGCCAGCCCTACCCCCAAGGGCTGTAGGGTGGGGCCCAAAGGAGTCAGTGTTTAAAAATTTCTTCATTTTCCTTGTTTAGAATCAGAGGTGCTAGTTTCAAATCCTTTTTAGTCTTAAATCTTTATGCTAGATATTGAATAAGGTAGTTTTATTGTTTTTTGTCACTTTGAAAAAAAATTCTGTTCATGTTAAAAACAAAATCAACTGTCTGTATAAATATATCAGGTGACCGTAAAGTTACCTCCACGCGGTACAAAGGTGTAGCGTGAAGTCACGGTCAACCGTGGCGTAGGAAGAATGTACCGGTGAGACGTGAAGATCACATAACTCTAAACGAAAGTGTATGTTAAAAAAATCAACTAGAAGCAGCCGGAATAGTTACAGGTGTGGCTTCATTCTTAAATTGACAGTCTCTATATACGGAAACTGGTTAGGAGAAACTTGAGATTAGACGGAAGAAGTCTTTTTCTTTTATAAAATGCATTATAATTTATCGCCATCCTATTTCAAATATCTAAGCGAAATAAACATGTAACTACACTGTTCGTAGGCAACAGAAAGTTAGACGTAATACATACTAGACATGTCACGGCTGTAGTGCTTTGAATGTGGATCTCTTTAAAGTTAATTTAGTCTCATCTCCAGATTGTTACTGTTCTTATCCAGAAGAAGACAACTATCACTATCTTTTTCATTGCCTCCACGCGGTGTGTAGAGTATCTCCACAAATATTAAATTAATCTTTCTGACATTGCATATGTGCATACAGTACCTACCATGGAGTGACAAATCTTAACCTCATATTGAGTACTTTAAACATATCCAGGTGGGCGATACAGGCCCTCTGGGCCTCTTGTGTGCAATGTATGCGTGCTGCTGGTGAAGGTAATAATCACAGTATTCTACCCTGTACCATTATACGTTTGCTTTGGTTTATTTGAGTTTTACGTCCTGTTTACAACTATTGTCATTGAAGGACGTGCCAGGTTTTGGTGGTGGAGGAAAGCCCGAGTTCCCAGAGAAAAAAAACCCGATTTATAGCCAGTACCTGGCGACTGCCCCACGTATATGCCTCGAACCCGCGACCCAGTGGTGGAGGGCTAGTGGAAGCAGAATGTCAAACGCCCTAACCACTTGGCCCCCGCGGCCCCCGTGCCATTATACTGACAAGAGCTACCCAGGTTGATGTCATTACTTGAAATGGAGAACGTTAGGCAGGGAATAACAACTACCATTTTAAGGCCTCGGAACAGAACCCATTGCCTTACTCACATGGGTGACGTTGAAATATTTCAATGGGGGAGCTGATCAATTTTAGTTTCTTCAATTTACTTTTAGAAAACACGAACGAAAACCCCTGATTCAGCAAGCGGCAGTTCTTATGTCGCCTCTTCGATATGAAGTTGGATACAGCAGGCCTATTTTTACCGGCACATGGTCTGTTGTTTAGTATTAATAGGTTAACGCATGTGATGACAGTTAATCGATATTCATTAATAATATTGTTTTAACCTTCTTGAAGGTGGTGATGGCGGAACTCAGACCAACGACGCAGAAGTCCAGGGTACCGGTCAAGGGCCTAGTGTAAAGTGGTATGGTAACGACTATTGTCAACCAACGGGAGTATCGGGCAGTCTTGCCATGTCCACAAAAAATCGTCTCCGTCTTCTTATCGGTAACCAGTTCGTCCGCGTTATCACTGACGGTATGACAGTCAACGAGGCCTGTGATAGATGCTTGTTTGCACTGAACGGACAGGCAGAGGTTGAAGGAGCGGTGAATGAAGACGTGTACGTGGCCTTTAACAAGGTTGTCCAGAAGTATTCTGGTAGGACAGGCTACGGTGTGTGCGGAGCGGATCTCAGCTGGGTTTGCGGTTGTCTTCCCTAGATTTATAGACATGCGCTAAAATTTAAACTCAACGACACACAATGTTGTCCTCACTAGACTTTCAGACATTTGCTTCAATCTTTGTGAATCAAAGACACCAAAGGTTGTTTTCTCTAGACTTGTAATAATGTACTTAAGTGTGTGTTAATCAAAGACACCCAACGTTGTCTACCCTAGACTGTTAGACATGCGCTTAAAGTGTGTTAATCAGAGGCACCCATGGTTGTCTTCTCTAGACTGTTAGACATGCGCTTCAATGTGTGTTAATCAAAGGCACCCAACGTTGTCTACCCTAGACTGTTAGACATGTGCTTAATTGTGAGTAATCAAAGACACCCAACGTTGTCTTTCCTAGACTGATAGACATGCGCTTAAATGTGTTAATCAAAGACACCCAACGTTGTCTACCCTAGACTTTTAGATATGTGCTTAAATGTGTGTTTATCAAAGGCACCCATGGTTGTCTTCTCTAGACTGTTAGACATGCTCTTAAATGTTTGTTAATCAAAGACATCCAACGTTGTTTACCCTAGACTTTTAGACATGTGCTTAAATGTATGTTAATCAAAGGCCCCCATGGTTGTCTTCTCTAGCCTGTTAGATATGCGCTTAAAAGTGTGTTAATCAAAGACATCCATGGTTGTCTTCTCTAGATTGTTAGACATGCGCTTAAATGTGTGTTAATCAAAGACATTCATCGTTGTCTTCTCTAGACTGTAAGACATGTGCTTAAATGTGTGTTAATCAAAGACACCCAACGTTGTCTACCCTAGACTGTTAGACATGCGCTTAAATGTTTGTTTATTATAGACATTCAAGATCGCTTTCTCTAGACTTAAAGACATGTGCCCCAATAAATGTGTGTTAATCAAAGGCACCCCATTTTAACTAAGCTGAATTGATAGTTATCATTAAAAGATTTAATTGAACACTTAAACAGCAATTACGGCATCCAAGAAAAAGTATTTTATATTTTCTATAAATCTGTTACACTAACAGAAATAGAAAATATATAGAGGTTACGCAACGAGTGGTTGTTGAATATGGTATTTATTCCACTCGAGTAAGTTAATTTTCAAAAGTTACAAAAGACACGAGCTTTAGCGAGTGTCTTTCTGTAACTTTTAAAAATTAACTAATGAGAATGAAATAAATACCATACTCAACAACCACGAGTCGTGTGATCTGTTTCTACCACAATCTCATTCGGAAACAGCTGTTTTTCCTGATTTGAATAGCATATACATATTTTGTTGACAAGGCCGGCGTAGTGGTATGACCCATATGTAAAAAGTCACTCATTAATATTCAAAAATGATTTATTTTTTTTACAAATTTAATAATTTTCAAAATCAATGTTTTGGCAACAACTTTGTGAAAAAAATAAAATAGATGTTATTATAATTATTTGCTTTGCGTCTTTAGTTTGACCTCTTCTATTGATTAATTAATTTACATTTTTTTGAATATGGAAAATCACTTTTAGCCAATTATTGTTTTGAAGAATTTTAGACAGGCGCTAAACGTTTTACTCAAAGGCATCCGACTTAACTTTGCAATAGAAAGATCTGACTATAATGTGATACCTCGGCATCACAGAGAAAAGCATTCAATGGAAAATAGTATTAATAATCATTATATATAACAAGAATCCGACCTGTCCCTCAGGTGGCCTGAGCAAATAATCGAAATCTAATTGGTCAATAGCCATTTAAGTTAGCTTTACCATGTGATTTCAATACCTCGATCAAACAAATTCTTATATATATTAACGTCTCTGGTTTATTAACATTTTCAAAAGGATTTTGCGAAATGAATTAAAAAACGGATATAGCTTTTGCATTTGATGTTCTATTATTCCAATTTCTTGTGATTATAATGGCATTTTAATGATTTTACTCCGTTATCTCCTCCTGGGCACAAATCTGTAAGCCCTGGGTGCATCCGTTAGTCACAGAAAAGAACATCGTGGTCGCGTAACAGTAACATTGACTGGCTTTAAAGTCGGGTGTCGCTACGTTGTGATTATCAAAAGACAGGTATCAGCCTAGTGATTATTTTTACCCGAGACCAATCAAATAGCTCGCCGCGTGTCTTCAATTTTGCTATGACATATTCCAGGTTTGCAGAGAGCGAAAGTGAGCGTAACCCCTGGGGTATCGAGGATGGATTATACCCGTCATCTCTCTGACTAACTTAGTATAAAGTATGTCGGGGTCATTAATAATAATGTACTTTAAGATAACTATCTTTATGATTATTTATACAATGGTATCAATTCCTTCGAATGCAACTGGCCCCATTCTATATTACCAAGCCAGAAAAATGGCAATTTGCAACATTTCTGTACTATTCGACCTTAAATTTATATTTTCATATTTGGATGAGGCTTATAATCATGTAGTACTCTTGTACCCGCCTAACTTATGAGTACAGCTTTGTCACGAATGCTTCATGTAATCAAATCGTATTTGTTTAGACAAGTTTTTTAAGATTTCCGTTTGTACGCGATGTATTCACATTTATCGGCGGAGACCTTTTTGAACATGATCTCAATTACCCTGTGGCACAGTCGAATAACTCGATGCTCAAACCTCCGATGTACCGGTAATTATTAATTGTTAGTGGGTGGTGTGGGATAGAAAAGAGCCCATTATACCGATCAAATGCATCAATTTACGAGATGATCAAATTTATGGTGAAAGGAAAACCCTGATCTTTAAAGTATGGCATACATAACTGATGGGCTTAGGGCAAATAGCTGTCGTCGCTGGGGACCAGTCCTGGTATCCATGTTCACTAATACAATTATAATCAAGGTAAATTACTATCAATCATATATGATTATGAATATTTTCGTTGCTCCGTCATGACAAACCAATAAAAGGTCAATGGCATTTATCAAAGAAAACTATGTAAATAGTCTAAATTCTAAAATCTAACTTTAAAGATGTAACACGGTCTATTTCCTCTAATGTATATTATATTATGTTAATAGGTTAACCTGAAATAATAATGGAATTTATGTAATAAACGTATTTGATGAATTTTGTATAGTATTTTGTTTATTGTAAGTAGTGATTTCTACTTTTGATTAGATCAGAGGATATAGCGAGAACTTATCCATAGCCCAGCAGGTGCACCCTGTGTAACACAGAGGTGAGCATTCGTTACCAGTATCGGGGATCGAGAATTGAATAAACCTGTTGTTACCCAATGCATGTATCATCAAAGGAGACTTATGGACGTCCCTGCAGAATTCGATCCAGGGTGATGCTATTTTGCTAGAAGCATGGTTGCATTTAGTGCTACCAAATTTATTCAAGTGAATTACCTGAAACTTTTTTAAACGACTTTAATAAAAGAATGCCAATACGATGCTGGGATGAAAATTACCGAGTTTGTTCAAAATAATGACCTTCACTCATTTTTAAGGGTACATAGGTCAAATATTTTGAGATCTTTCAACAAATTCTGATAACGAAAATGCGAAATACGACCAGTAGCATGAACAGTTATAAAGTTTGCCCGGATGAAAGGCTATGAAGTTTGTTCACCTGAATGTCCTGAAATTAGTCAAGTTGTTAGGTTACAAGTGGGAGATCAATACCAGGTGAGCGATACAGGTCCATTGGGCCTCTTGTCAGTATAATATATCACAATTCAAAATGTTGTATGTCAAAACTGCTTTTATAAAAATCATTAAAGTCAGACACAGCCATAGGATTTCATAAAGAGAACAAGTAGGGGTGAAGACATTGCTAACATTGAATACAATTCTAGCAGCTCTGAAGATTAAAAATAATATCAATACATATCTTATTACTTGGAGTGTTCACACCGATGAACAAAAGTTAAAATGAGGAAACGCAATACTGTTGTATACCTGTAAAAAGAACTTCATTAGACATGAAAGGTCCAAGGTGAGCGATACAGGTCCATTGGGCCTCTTGTCAGTATAATATATCACAATTCAAAATGTTGTATGTCAAAACTGCTTTTATAAAAATCATTAAAGTCAGACACAGCCATAGGATTTCATAAAGAGAACAAGTAGGGGTGAAGACATTGCTAACATTGAATACAATTCTAGCAGCTCTGAAGATTAAAAATAATATCAATACATATCTTATTACTTGGAGTGTTCACACCGATGAACAAAAGTTAAAATGTGGAAACGCAATACTGTTGTATACCTGTAAAAAGAACTTCATTAGACATGAAAGGTCCAAGTTGTCGAAGAATACCTATCTTTTTTGACAACATTTTACATACATATACACATGTTCTTTCCATGATAAACAATTATCTATAAAAACACCTACAAGATCTCTACATTTATCAAGTTTTTGGACAGATCCTACCATCATACATGTAGGGCCTGTTTGTCTATACGGAACAACCGGTTTGACCGTTTATAAATGTAACAATTTCGGGTATAAATCCTGGCGGACCTGCAAATGTTTATGCAGGCCTTGAAAAACCTTTGTCAAGGCTCGCATGAAAGCTGCATCAGATTACTAGGTCAGACCTTATTTAATAAACAAACAACAGAGGTCCGACCGGTTTGACCGTTTAAACGAAAACGGCCCGAGTTTTTTTTCCAGATTGTTGTCTTTCATCCATTTTAAAGTGCATTTTAAATCGTGTCCTTTTTTCTTCTAACACTTCAACAGTCTTACCAGGCATTGAAATTTCGATTTAAAAAAAAAACAATTAAACAAAATGAAACAAAAGATATATTATTTGTTGGAACAATGGTTTATTAGAAATATGAAAAATAATAACAATGTCAATATTGATGAACAAAACACTAAAAAACTGAGTAATTTTCTTACAATAACACTAAAACAAACAAAAATGCCATTACATGAATCAATAAAATTTCGAGTGCCAATGCAACACGTTTAGGATACCGAAAAGAAAATATAGGTGACAAAAAAGTATCTTCCGGACTTACTTATTTTACAATTTGTTTTTATAAAGATACAAAAAACTAAACAAAAAAGAGACAAATCTCACATGTGTACCAATACTAATTCTAAATCCCCCAAAAATACACAAATATAAAACAGTTGGCATTACCAACCAATAGAATTACTTCAAATGTAATAACTAATATAAAACTAATTGCACTTGTATGAATGACATTATGACAAACAATGTACTTTAATGTGTCATAGTATAAATATCACAATGAACAGCAATAACAAAGTTCCACATACTTAACACAACAATAATATTTTTTACATACTGTACAAATAACATACTTTGTTGTGATATAAAAAAAAATCACACTATACAACAGTAATAAACTTTTACATTATGTACAGATAACAACATGCCATATTGTGAAATACAACTATCACACTCTATAGCAATGATAAAGTTTTACATTATGTACAGATAACAACAAACCATATACATGTAGATTGTGGTATAACAAAAATGTGATGTAGTTGTTAGTGGTGTGACAACTTAAAAGTTGGGATCAGTACTTTGCTAGAGTTAAGTCCCTTGTGGAGCTCTTTTGTTAGGAGAGAAAACTTGTCGTGTGCAAAATGCGGAAAGCGAGGGGTGCACGTGTGTTGTCAGCACTTTGGCGAGGCAGGCTGCAGGTGGTGGAGGGGAATCTGGACCCCGGACTCGTTGTTGGTCCCGGAGCGGGGTTAAACTTTCTATAGCTGTAGATGCAGGTAAGTTGCTGTGTTGTTTCATTTATAGTGTGGTGAATTTTGAGTAAAGAGTTTATAGGTTTGTTACTTGGAAACCTTGAAAACATTGTGGTTGTTATACTTTGTATGTAAAATGGCCGCCCATGCAGTAGTCGATATAAGGTGAACATTTTGCTGTTGTAGGGGTTTTGTAAATGGCCTAGTACTCGGCGGACGGTGATGGCAGGGCTGGATTGGCGTCTTCCATAAGTCTATATAGAGATATTGGCATGCAGTGTTGACGTCTAGAGTTTAGTGTCGCCCAGATATGTGACATGATGATGTGGCAGAGTTAGTGCCGTGAGGTGAAGGTC